TCTCTGCTGCAAGGAGGCGCTCCTCGAGGAGGTCAACGGTGAGTGTGGTAGGGCAAAGAGAGAGGAAGTGGTCTTTGACGGAGCGAAGGGTGTCAGGAAGCCGGGTGACTAGGTAGTAGAGGGTGATGTACATGGGGGGGGGGGGGTTCTTGGCGCAGAACTCAGCAGGAAGCGCAGTGCGGTAGCGGGTGTCACTAGTGCGGAGGTGCGTAATGAGGTCAGTGACTGTGGCAAAAGCGGCGAGGTCAGGGAACAAGTACGGGAGCATGAGGCGGCTAAGGGCAGCAGTGGCAGGGGAAGAGTAGCGTGCAACTACAGCGTCGTACAGAGTCTTAGCACTCTTGTACTGACTAAAGTGCGCGCGCTCAGTAGACGGTAGGTGACTACACACAGCAAGGCCGGCAGCAGCATCGCGCGTGGTCCACTGTGAGCGAACAGTACTGTCAGCATCAGCAGCAGGGGCAGTAGAGGCGCCAGACGTGAGATCGAACAGTGAGAGACCATTCTTGCTATCGCACTGTAGGAAAAGCTGCAGATCATCTATCCAGACCTCGAAGTCAACCGCTCGACCCTCAGCATCAAAGGTAAGAACACTGGGACTAGCCATGACAGTAGCAGCAGCAGGCTAGCAGCAGCAGCAGCGCGACTCGGTTACGCGGCGCGGCAGGGCGGGGCAGCGCGACTCGGCAGGGCGAGCCGGCTCGGTGGTGCTCTTACCAGGGGCGGGGCCGGGGCAGGGCCGGGGCAGGGCTGCAACAGGTCCGGGGCAGGGCTGCGACAGGTCCGGGGCAGGGCCGGGGCAGGGCTGCGACAGGTCCGGGGCAGGGCCAGGGCAGAGCCGGGGCAGGGAAAGGGCAGGGTCGGGGCAGGGCCGGGGCAGGGCCGGGGCAGGGCCGGAGCAGGGCCGGGACAGGGCCGGGGCAGAGCCGCGATAGGGCCGCAACAGGGCCGGGGCTGGGCCGCGACAGGTCCGGGACAGGGCCGCGACAGGGTCGGGGCAGGGCCGGGGCAGGGCCGCGACAGGTCCGGGACAGGGCCGCGACGGGGCTGGGGCAGAGCCGAGGTAGGGCCGGGGTCGGGCCGCGACAGGACCGCGACGAGCGACGGGGCAGGGCCAGGGCGGGGCCGCGACGAGGTCGCAACGGGCGACGGGGCAAGGCCGGGGCCGCGCCGCGATAGGGCCACGACGGGGCGGCTTCGGGCGACGGGGCAGGGCCGGGGCGGGGTCGCAGCGGGGCCTCGAAGGGGGCCGCTAATGGGCCGCAAAGGGGCCGCGTAGGGCAGGACAGGCCGCTAAGGGGCCGCGAAAATCGAGGGCAGGGTAGAGCGCGAAGTGCGCTTCGGGGAGTTAGGAAAAAAAAATAAAAAATTAACGGTGGGCCCTTAGGAAGGAACGGTCCCACTAGGGAACCCGCTCTATACCATGTTAAGAAATGAGAATGATTGACTAGGAAATGAGTTGGGTACAAATATAAAACCCTAGGAAACTGTACCCCATAGTGTCTACCCCACTACAGCCTACACAGGCTTATGTGATTAATGTTTGACAGGTACTACTCCTCCGTTACTGTTCCCACCGGCTGACCAGTCTCAGCCACAGCTACTGCCTGGCTCCCCGCTGCCTGCACCTACTTGAGGACAGGCAGTTTGAGCTGGAGTGCCTTGCGGCCGCTGCACCTCATCTCGCGTCCATGCTACTTTGCCCTGAGGGAGACCCAGATGCACTAGACATCCCGACCCCGCGCTCTTACGCAGAGGCGATCACGGGTCTGAAATCCTCTTAGTGGCAGATAGCCATGGACGCAGAGATGGCTTCCTGGAAGTCCACATGCACCTACGTCGACGAGGTTCCCCCACCTAGGGCAAACATAGTCGATGGCATGTGGATTTTCAGGGTGAAGCGGCCGCCGGGTTCTCCTCCAGCCTTCAAGGCATGTTACGTTGCACGAGGCTTCAGTCAGCTTGAGGGGGTCGACTTCTTCCCGACCTTCTCCCCCACCCCAAAGATAACTACTCTTCGGGTGCTACTGCACGTTGCAGCACAGCGCGACTACGAGCTGCACTCCCTCGACTTCTCGACAGCCTTTCTGCAAGGCAGCCTTCATGAGGCTATCTGGTTGCGCCGCCCACGTGGCTTCACTGGGTCGTTTTCCTGAGGGTACCTAGTGGAGTCTTTGGCGACCAGTCTACGGCCTGCAACAGGCGCCCCGTGAGTGGCACAACACATTGAGGACTACACTTGCGGCTTTTGGCTTCGCTCCCTCGACTGCTGACCCTTCGCTGTTTCTGCGCACAGACACTTCTTTGCCGCCGTTCTACGTTCTCGTGTACGTCGACGACTTGGTTTTTGCTACTGCTGACACTGAGGCACTAGCCTTTGTGAAGGCGGACCTGCAGAAGAGACACACCTGCACTGACCTAGATGAGCTGCGGAGCTATCTTGGCTTGCAAATCCCCCGGGACAGAGCGCGCTGCACCATCACCCTCACCCAATCACACATGGTGCAGCAGGTCCTTTAGCGCTTCGACTTCTCGTGGACCTCGCCACAGCCCACTCCTCTGTCTACAAGCCACTTGCTTTTAGCTCCACCTTCAGACGAGTCCGTAGAGCCGAGTGGTCCGTACCCAGAGCTTGTGGGCTGCCTCATGTACCTGATGACGTGCACAAGACCTGACCTCGCATAACCTCTCAGCCTCCTGGCTCGCTACGTGGCTCCCGATAGACACCGAAAGGTGCACTGGGATGCTGCGAAGAGGGTACTGCGTTACTTGTGCAGTACATCGGGCATGGAGCTTGTGCTTGGAGGACAAGGTTCATATGTTCTCACCGGCCACTCCAACGCTTCTTGGGCTGACGACCTGACGACTCACCGGTCTACAAAAGGGGTATAGCTTCAGCCTAGGCGCTGTTTCTGTCTCGTGGAGGTCCACTCGCTCGTCTTCTGTACTTAGTTCCAACTGTGAGGCCGAGATCTACGTTGGGGCTATTGCTCCACTAGCTGACCTACCTGCTGACCGACTTGGGTGAGTGGCCTCGTTCTCCTTTAGTTCTATACGCTGACAACAAGGCCATGATTGCCTTGTGTCAGGTCCAGAGACTGGAGCACAGAGCTCTGCATGTGAACTGGCCTTGTGGCCGCTTGCTTGTGCTCAGAATGCGTGGTGATCTTGAGATCCACCCTGAGCTTTGTTTTGCTTTGCTTCTTCTCTTGACTGGTCTTGTGACCTTTGCTTGCTCTGGCTATCCCCCACTTCGCCTATGGGGGTGTGTCAAAACATATATGCTTAGTTGTATCTAGGCTGTATTGGGGCTAGATTTAGGGGGTACAGAAATCATCTCGACGTTCTCCTTGTACCCCCTCCATTGACCTAATCGATCATTCCCGTTTTACATAGTTCTCACACTACATGTTTGTTGTGGTCGGTTTGATGCATCTCACTCAGGCTATGGGGGTGTGTCAAAGGGATATTTCATATGTTAGTTTAGCCTGTAGTGACTTGCCCTTAGGGGTACAACATTTCTCTCGATACCCATCATGTACCCCTTCCATTCCTTAGTCACTCATTCCTGTCCTACTATTCGAACAGGGGAAACCGGTGGCAAGAAGGGGGAAACCGAGCGCGGGTAGGGGGAAACCGATGGCAAGCAGGGGGAAACCGATGACAAGCAGGGGGAAACCGATGACAAGCAGGGGGAAACCGATGACAAGCAGGGGGAAACCGATGACAAGCAGGGGGAAACCGATGACAAGCAGGGGGGAAACCAATGACAAGCAGGGGGAAACCGATGACAAGCAAGGCGGAAACCGATGAGAAGCAGGGGGAAACCGATGACAAGCAAGGCGGAAACCGATGAGAAGCAGGGGGAAACCGATGACAAGCAGGGGGAAACCGATGACAAGCAGGGGGGAACCGATCACAAGCAGGGGGGAACCAATGGCAAGCAGGGGGAACCAAACGCAGGTAGGGGAAACCGGTGGCATGCGTAGCCTGTTCGAAGCTGGTACCCTGGGACTTCTCGCAGGCAGCTACAACACACACCCAGTACTCCCTGGAACTGCCTGCAGAGGTGAGAACAAGAGCCCGGTCCTTTTAAGACACCACGCGCAGCGCGAAAACCCTCTTCAGCTGGATTTGATGAAGCTTACTGAGCTGATATTCTAGCCGTTGATACCTCTGCACAATCTCCTACTTTCCTTAGCTGCCTTCCCTCCACACAGACTACGGTATGTGTCACACTCCTTCCTCAGCAAGGCAAGGCTGACAGTACCCTTGCTGGCGCGTGTTGCTGCTCCAGGCTTGGTGAGGCTGGACTTGTGACGGAGCGATGCAGCATGCACCGCAGCCCGTTCGAAGCTGGTACCCTTGGCCTTCTCGCAGGCAGCCACAACACAACCAGTACTCCCTGGAACTGCTGGTTGAGGTGAGAACAAGAGCCTGGTCCTTTAGGACACCACGCGCAGCGCAATTTTTTTTTTCAGCTGGATTTTATGAATCTTAGTGAGATGAGTCCATGGTTCCTTCTAAAATTTGAGACTAAATAACCACCTCCCCAAGGAGGGGTATATACACCCCCTAGCGTGCACTATACAGGGGATTAGGGTACCGGACATCGTTGGTACCTTCTGACCTTTAGAAGGATCCGTGAAACTTAATGTGCAAGCAGTACACATAAAGGCATGTAGACCTGTAGAGATACCCTTAAACTAAAGTTACCCTAGCAGAGTTAACCAATATTGGGGAGAACACGAACGATATTCTCCGTATCAACGAAAATGCGGACGCGGTTTGTTCGATAATCCCTCGTGACGGGACGTCCATACGGGATAATTTTCACGTCCCAGTTACAATCTGGCATCGATGTCAGGATGTAATCACGAGCCTTTTCGCCCGTCATGCCAACCACCTCAGGCCAAGAGGTCTTGCTGCCAGGGGTAAAAAACGGGAGGATAGGGCGAAGTATGGTTTTAGCAGGGAACAGTACGAGAAGGGAAGACATTTTATGGAAGGCAAAAAAGTGAGAATGCGTTGAGAAGGGAGGGGAAAGGGTTTGATGAATTTGTGAACAAATGATTAGCAGCAGGAGAAGAGGAGAGTACATCAGGGGGAGAGGAGAGGGAGACGGGAGTGAGGGGAGATGGGGGAAGAGGTGGGGAGAGGGTGAGAAAGGGAGGGGAGGAGGGGAGAGGAAGGAGGTGAGAGGAGGGAAAAGGAAGATTAGGGGAGAAGGGGAAGAGGAGAAGGGAGAGGACAGAGGGGGAAGAGTGGGGGAGATGGGAGGAGAGGAGGGGAGAGGGTGACAGAGGGGAAGAGGCGCGGAAAGGAAGGAAGAGGAAGGAAGATAAGGGGAGAGGAGGGGACACAAAAGGAATCGAGGAGATAGTGCAAAGGGTCGGAAAGAGGTTTGTGAATAGACAGTAACAGGGGTGGGAAGGTAGGGCTGGGATAGGCCACAACGCGACCTATTGACAAATATAAGACACACACTGCATGTAAAGAAAAAAAGGAAAGAAAGAAGAAAAAATCATAACAGATTCTTAACGGTCCATGCAACCCACCTGCTACAGGTCTCCTCAGCAATTTGCTTCGGTCGACGCAGCTTATTGGCACCGCCGCCGCCGCTGCCATTCTTGTTCGGCACATTTCCATTCTTCACGTTTCCATTCGCCAGCTTTGGCGAAGGTCCCCCCGCCGCAGTGTTGTTCCCCCTCTTCGGCCCCCCTGCAGCAGTGCCGTTTCCCCTCCTCGGCCCCCCTGCAGCAGTGCCGTTTCCCCTCCTCGGCCCCCCTGCAGCAGTGCCGTTTCCCCTCCTCGGCCCCCTTGCAGCAGTGCCGTTCCCCCTCTTCGGCCCCCCTGCAGCAGTGATATTCCCCTGATGGTGCCCCTTGTTCGAATGCCCGCCCTTCGTTCGGTTCCCCGCCGCTGCCGTCCCGTTCCCCCCATGGCGCGGGTGGCGGGGGGGCGCGGTGGTGTTTGCCCCCTTGGCCTGTTGAATCTCCCCCCTAGGCGGAAGAGTGCGCGAGGATGCGAGGAGAGGAATCAGAGCAACGGAGACGAGGAGGAGGACTAGGAGGAGAGAGGGGCGCGAAATCTTCATGGTGATTCTACGGGGCGAGCGGTTTGAAAACGGTACGGTGAATGTAATGAGCGCCCTTGCTGCTGGAGATCTCGTGCGCGAAGACCTGAGGGGAATGGAGGGGATGTAGCATGTGTGTGAGGGGCGTAAGTGAACCAGCCGAGCCGCTGTGACTCTCATCCACGGCTAGCCGAGCCTCTGTGGCTCTCAACCTCGGCTAGCCGAGTCTCTGTTGCTCTCAGCCTCGGCTACCCGAGCCTCTGTTGCTCTCAGCCTCGGCTACCCGAGCCTCTGTTGCTCTCAGCCTCGGCTAGCCGAGCCTCTGTTGCTCTCAGCCTCGGCTAGCCGAGCCTCTGTTGCTCTCAGCCTCGGCTAGCCGAGCCTCTGTTGCTCTCAGCCTCGGCTAGCCGAGTCTCTGTGGCTCTCATCCTCGGCTAGCCGAGCCTCTGTGGCTCTCAGCCTCGGCTAGCCGAGCCTCTGTGGCTCTCAGCCTCGGCTAGCCGAGCCTCTGTGGCTCTCAGCCTCGGCTAGCCGAGCCTCTGTGGCTCTCAGCCTCGGCTAGCCGAGCCTTTGTGGCTCTCAGCCTCGGCTAGCCGAGCCTCTGTGGCTCTCAGCCTCGGCTAGCCGAGCCTCTGTGGCTCTCAGCCTCGGCTAGCCGAGCCTCTGTGGCTCTCAGCCTCGGCTAGCCGAGCCTCTGTGGCTCTCAGCCTCGGCTAGCCGAGCCTCTGTGGCTCTCAGCCTCGGCTAGCCGGGCCTCTGTGGCACTCAGCCTCGGCTAGCTGAGCCTCTGTGGCTCTCAGCCTCGGCTAGCTGAGATTATGGAACTCTGTGCCTTGGCTAGCCGAGCCTCTGTGGCTCTCAGCCTCGGCCAGCCGAACCTCTGTGGCTCTCAGCCTCGACCAGCCGAGCATATGTGGCTCTAAGCCTCGGTTAGCCGAGTCTCTGTGGCTCTCAGCCTCGGCTAGCCGAGATTATGGGACTTTGATCCTTGGGTAGCCGCAGTTCATGCCGCAGACAAGTCGCGACGAGGACGGGAGGAGGATGGGAGGAGGATGTGAAAAGGATGGGAGGAGGATGAGACGACTCGGAGGTTGTGACATCGATCGGATAGGCATGGGATGACGATGCGACGAGGATGGTACGAAGTAGGAAGCGAGGTGTAGGGGTGGGGGAGAGAGGTGGAGAGGCGGAGGTAGCTGTCAATCCTGACGCCACATGGATCGATGTACCTGCGATGAGGTGTGAAACAGCTTAGCTGACGTTTGCGTAGACCCAACGTCGTACTAGTTCTCAGCACCTGTGACAGAATATCGTAACGCTCGGATGCGACTCGCCGACGCAAAGGGGACGGCGCAACGCGACGCAATGCTGCTGCTTCTGCTGCGAAATTTTCTATGCGCGGGGAAAGGGGAAATGGTGAAAGGGGAAGGGTGGGGGAGTGGGGGGGGGGAGTAGAATCAACTTCTGCTTCTGCTCAGACATGTTCTGGGGGAGGCTGGAGATTGGAGGGATGTCGGGAGCATTGACGGGAGCATGCCGAGGTCGTCTCGGAGTTACGAGATCGTCTTGCGCCAGAATATTTCGACGCGGGCCAAGCTTTCAAGACGCAGACCGGGATTGATAGGAACAAATTCAATAATCTGCCTAGACGACAGACAATAGCTACAGAGACTGCGAGAAGAAGAGGGGGGAAGGAACGAGGTCTGGAGCCGTACACGGTGCGAAGCGTCGGTGATGAAGAGCGGAGAGGAACGAGATCCTGCTGGCAATGCGGGAAGAATCGATCCAGAGCCGCTTAAAACGCTGATTCGAAGCCTAAATTGTTTCGGACGCTGATGCTCAAATGGTTGATGACTTGAGATGCCAGCGCAAAAGCTTTATAAATACGATTATCGAAACGAAAGGAATCGTATGGCGCACGGAAACGCAAGAGCACCGACCATAAACACGGGCGACATGTAAGAATCTCGGGCTGTTTAACTCCCAAGAAGCTGCTATGAAACTGGGTAAAATGCTGTGTACGAATTGCATGGAGAATTAGTGGTCTAAAACGTCATTGCACGCCTTCTGGAGCTTGCGGGTGATTTTGCCCCAGTTCGACCTCTTTCCCCATTCACCCATGTCGTCGGGATTGATTGGGACGTGAGGTTCCCGCCTAATTTGGCGCACCTCCCAAAGGCGCGCCGCGCATGAGCGCTTCCAGGTTGAGCCTGATCTGCAAAGAAAATGTGCCTGTGAAAACAGCCGAACCGTCCGATCGAAATCCCAACCTGGGGACGGTGACATTTGCGCGGCGCCTCAGTTTTGGAGGACAGCCGTCACAAGAACCCGCTTACGTCATTTTCAACAGATATAATGTACTGTAAACCGCGATATTGTCGGTCAGCAAACACGTCGCCCGAGTCTCGACTCTCGAGTTGAGAAAAAAAGCACTTTGCCTCTTGAGGGTGCGAACCAGGCGATTTGGACATGAGCCGAACGACCCCTTTCCCGCCAACAAACATAGCTCGTTAGGGCAGCAGAAAAACGAAAATAACAGAGGGACACGCAAAACAAATCTGACTGGGTCGAATTCCTGCCTGGGGAAAGAATTGCTTCGTCGTAACAATTCTTTCCCCCCTGTAACAAGCAATTGAAAGTCAACGGGGTCAGCCGCAAGCGATCTGACACCTCTCGAGAAAGCCCCCCCCAATGGTTACCGCGATAATCAAACTGAGAAAAAACTAATACAGAAGTTGCTCCATAAGAAGCACTTGCAACGGTATTAGTGAATTGAAATAAAGCTAGAGTACACATTCAAAGCATGGCTCTGGAAAATCGTGGGGATAGGCGAATTATAATTTCTCATGCGGAAAACAAGATAATATCTATCGTTAACGTCCGAATACCAGTAATTACTGATCATGCGATAGACTTCCAGAATTATGTGATAATCAGTTATCAAACAGTAACGCAATGCATACATTTCAAACATTTTGTGACTTCCCACATTATTACCCTTTGTCCACATCCTTTGACGTCTGTGGAGATTCCATGCATAATGGTGGGTATCTGGCCCAAATACGCTTACGAAATACATACAGAAAACCACATGTTGTGCACATCGTACACGAGATAATGCTCCAGTTGTTGCTGCGCCTTCTTCTGCTGTTGTTGATGTTCCGAAACATCCCTCTTGCTGTTCCTTTTATTCGACTCGCTCCCTCTTGCCTTCAATTCCCCTCCTTCCTGTTCCTCCCCTCTCTGACCACCACTCCATCCAGTGCAGAGCGAACGCCTGCATCAAGCGAAGGGGATTGCGAGAAGGTAAAGACGGGAGTGCGGGGACCGAGAGGTGAGTGAAACGCGGATAGCACCTGCCACCTGACGCCCCCTCATCCCACCTCTTCCCCCTGCTACCTGTGAGGGGAAGAGTTGGGGAAAGCACCGAAAGGGAATAAAGGAGGTGGTAAGGGTACGTAAGGAGCTGAAAAAGAGGAGGGGTGGAGGAGGGAGGGATATGCGAGTGATCATGAAATGAACAGGCGAAGGGGCTGAAAGGCGCTTAGAAAGGAACAAACAGGCTCCTATTGTGCATGTTTCCCTACATCCATCCAGACATGCGCACACACATGTGCAAAGGCGCTTTTGAGGCGTTTCAAGAAAACCTGCTGCACATGTTTCACTACATCCAGAGGAGCTGGCGATGAGAGTGATAGCAGAAGTTCAGCTCTTATCCCTCGCCAGTGGGTTGAGAGCGGTGGAATTCTCCAGGATTCTCTTGCCAATGGGTTGAGAGTGGTCAATTTCTCCAGAATTCTCTTGCCAATGATAGCAGACGTTCTGGCCACAACCGCCATCCTTGCCGGTGCTGGTTATCGGTGTCGTAGGACAGGGCGAGCACGTGAGCATGGTTCATGAATCGAGCTGCCACGTGGCAGCTCATCACTGGCTGATTCTACTGCTGCTGCTAGTATGTCCCCTGTGGCTCCTACCACTCCCACCCCTCTTGGTTGTCTGCAAAGAAACCGTCTGCGTTGTTTCTAGGAGGGAGGAGAGGGCAGGGCGGAGGGAGTGCCCCAGACAATTACCACTGTTGAATGCTGTGAGCTGCCGTCGGGACGTGGGTATGCATGGAAGGTGGTGGTGGGAAGGGAGGAGGGGGTTCTCGGAGTTATCAGTATTATTTTCTCGAAAGCGTGCTCTTGAGTCAGCAGGGCAGCGCGGGAAGGGTCTCCCAGTTACCACTGCTGAATACTGTAAGCTAGGGCGGGGATGTGGGTAGGCATGGAAGAGGGTGGTGGTGGGGTGAGGACGGAGAATTGGGAGTTATCAGTGTGTCCCAGTTACTGATGTTTCTAAAGGAGTGTTCATCAGTCTGCAAGGCGAGGCACATGTCATGTCTCAGTTACCGATGTTGAAGCAGTGAGCTGGGGTGGGAGGCAGGGGATATGGGAGATTTAGGTATGGGTATTTCAAAGGAATGTTCAGAAGTCAGCAGGGCAGGGCACATATCCCAGTTACCACTGGAGTGGGAGTGAGCTCGGGGGAGGGCGTACACGGGCAAGCAGGGAGGGGGGAGTGGGAGTGAACAGTGGGAACTTTCATCAGTCAGCACGGTGGAGCAAATGTGCAGGTACAGTACAACTGCTAAGGCAGTGAGTTGGGTTGGGACATGGGTAAGCAGGGAGGGTGGAGTGGAAGTGAGCAGTGGGAATTGTTATCATTAGTCATCAACAGGGCGGAGCAAGTGTGCAGGAAAAGCTGCTAAGGCAAGTGTGCAGGAAAATCTGCTAAGACAAGTGTGCAGGTAAAGCTGCTAAGGCAAGTGTGCAGGAAAAGCTGCTAAGGCAAGTGTGCAGGTAAAGCTGCTAAGGCAAGTATGCAGGTAAAGCTGCTAAGGCAAGTGCGCAGGTAAAGCTGCTAAGGCAAGTGCGCAGGTAAAGCTGCTAAGGCAAGTGCGCAGGTAAAGCTGCTAAGGCAAGTGTGTAGGTAAAGCTTCTATCAGGAGGGTGTGCAGGAAAACACATGGGTAAGCGGGGAGGGAGGAGGCGAGGGATCCATCAGTGAGTGGACGGAAGGATAGAGAGAGGGGAGGAGGTGGGAGTTCCCACATAACTCCCTTGCACAGCAGCACCGTACTCTACCACTCACTCATAACAATACTTGCCATCACTCAGTTACAACTGTGGGTGTATCATATATGCAATACATGTTGTAGTGTATATGCAACTAATATTGAAAAAGAGCCCTGCCACCGCTCCCAGCTCTTGCCTCTCTCATCCCCCCCTCCTCCACACTTCCCCCGTCCCCTTCTCCCCCTTCTCTCCTCACCTGCAGAATATTCTTTCACACTCTGCTCCCCCGCACCACACACCCTTGCGCCCTCTCCACCCCATGTTTGCTGCCAAGTCGAGTAGAATTTCGGGCGGTAGCAGAGGAGTGGTGGCGGCAAGGCAAACATAGCGTTGACTCAAGGCGAAGAGCAGGAAGAGAGAAGAAGGGGTCTGGGGAAGGGAAGAAGGTGTGGATACAGCGGAAGGGAACGGTGTGTGTGGGGGAGTGGGGAAGGGGGGGTAGCAGGGGGAGAGAGAAGAAGAGATGAGAGTGAAGATACGAAGCTAGTCAAGCAAGTCAGTGGAAAAGGAAAGTGGTGAAGTCAATAAATTCAATCAAAGAAAAGAGTAAAGTCAAGTCAATCAAGTCAAGCCAGTAACGTCAATCACATCAAGCCAGTCAACAAAAGTTGTGCCAGATAGTGGCAACAGCAACAAAAGTAACCCAAGTGGGCCATTTTTTCCTGGAATATCGCGCACAAGGAAGTGAGTGCAGAAAAGGAGACAGAACACAATCAAATGACTGTAAGAAAAATTGCTATATTGAAAGAATGACTGCAGAAGGTGAGCACGTATGGGAAGTTGCTATACAAGGGGAAGGGCAAGCAACTCAACTCCCAGTGTGGCATTGCCTTCTGCCAGCGAGGCAAGCTTGCTATCCAAGTCAGCGGTGACTAGGCGGTCCGCACTTGCTGCAATGGGCCAATGGGGAAGAAGACACCACACGGGGGGGATGGGGGAAGAAAGGGTGGTCGGGGGGGAAGGGGTGGGGGGGAGGGGGGAGAACTTCCGAGCGTCTTTCGGGAAGACTCACAAAGGAGGAGGTGGCACGAAGAGGGGAGGAGAGGAGGGGCAGGGAGGGGGAAGGAGGGGGTGGCTGATGAGGCGCCTCAAAAGGGATGGTGGGGAGGGGAGAACTTCCAAGACTCCGTTTGTGACGGGAGACTCAAAAAGGGGGACGGGGCACGAAGTGGGAGGGGGGGGGGATGACGGCGGGGAGGGAGGGGGGAGGAGGGGGTGGTGGTGGAGGGGTAGCACATTCAGTTATCAATCCGGCCTCAACAGGAACCCACTTTT